TTGACAGATTTAAAGCGCTATATCATTCATGCGTGAATCAATTTCTATTCAGTATTCATGTTTTGATTTTTCTGATATGTCCATTAGCACTCTTTCAAAACACATATCAGTCTCAGTTTATAACGGTCAATCCAAGCAGACGCCGTTACTTCTTGACAAGACTCAATGAGATTAAATGAGCCTGAGAAAGCGCAAGCAGCTGGAGGAAACTAGCAGTATGAGTGATGCCACTGTCAGAACAAGCTCGGTGAGTGACAGTGACTGATCGATTGACCGGTCAGACTGACACATCAAAGTCTGATTCACTGTAATCAATCAAAAGTGGCATATCCAACAGAGGAGGAGATTAAAGAGCCTGGAACATTGAGTGACTGTAAACCAGCTCTGTCAGTCACAATCTGCTACTGCAGTCAAGATGGAGTGAGTGTATGTGAAGTAAGTCTTCCTCTCCTTGTTAATATACCTGCACAGTTTAAAAAAAAAAAAAAAAAAAAAAAAAAAAAAAAAAAACACATTCAAAACAAATTCTGAATGCACCCGTTATGACTCTGTGTTGGACTCAGAAAGCTCAAAGTTCACTGTAAAGCTGCCAAACAAAGTTCAGTGCACATGAAAATATCCATGAAAGTGTAGAACTGCAACTATAGACCATATATGTATGAAGAACATGGGTCTAAAAGTTGAAGCTGATACAGATGTGCTTTATACCTGCATTCTCTCAAATGACCAGCAGGGGGCGACTCTGGTTGCAAAAGGAACACATTTTCTTGTCAGTTCATCAAACACTAAAACACTTGCATCATTTAATCTATTAATTTGTGATTCTGGACATTTTCTCAAAAGCTACTTGGTTAGGTTTAGCCACTGAAAACTAGTCTTTAAGACTGGATAGAAACTCCTTTCCACTGGACCTAAGGACTGTGAATACTATTGATACTTTTAAAAACTAACTCAAGACTCACTTGTACAGACTTCCCTGTATTCGGTTTTATATCTTTATACTGTTTCAATTGATGCATCTTATTCTGTATTGCAAAGCTTTTTGTGAATTTTCTTCTTGAAAAGAACCTTAAGGTAGTGAAAGCTACTGATTTATGTCCATTGCTCAGTCGAGAGTAAAAACTAGACTAAACCTGTACTAATATAATTTTGATTTTAGGTTAGGGTTTTTTTTTTTGTTTTTTTTGGCAAATTTGTGGAGACCAAATAGTCCCCCAGATGTTGAAGGTGTTGCACATTCAACTTCACAAGGTCATTGCATAGGTCTTCTTGTGGGCGGCAGTTTGTCTCCAAACCCAACTTGGACTGGCTGCTATCACTGTTATGCAGTCTAACTTAGACGTCTAACTTAATTGCTGTATTATCACAAACAGACAATCATGTAGGAGTGGCATGGTAATGTGGTGGTTAGCGCCATCCCCTCACAGGAAGAAAGTCCTCAGTTTGAATCTACTGTTCGGCTAGCACCCTTCTAGGTGGACTTTGCTAATTTCCCCGCCATGTCTATGTGTGTTCTCTCAGGTACACCGGACTCCTCCCACATCCTAAAAGCATGTATGCTAGGTTAATTGGTGATTTTAAATTGACTAGGAATGGTTATAACTCTTTCTGCAATAAATAGGCTACTTGTCCAGGGGTTTACCCTGCATCTCACCCTGCATGAGCTGAGATAGACTCCAGCTCTGTAACCCTGAAAAGCAAGAGAAAAAAATGGATAGAGATTGAATGTAATTGGCAACTTGACCTCATTCAATTGCAAAATTATTATCCTATTGCTGTTTTATTGCCAACTTGATGCAGCAAAGTTGCTCTGAAACAGCAACTCATATAGATCAATTATAGACCAGATCTCCATCATCAAAGCCATTCTAAATGCATCTAGATTGCAAGTTCATTACATATATTCACCATAACCTTTGCTGTTCCAGCCACTGTTTTCCCTAACGTGACTGTCGCACTATGCACAAAAAGCTACTTGGTTAAGTTTGGGAAATGATACCTTCCTGTTTGGCACGAGACTGGGTTGAAAAAGTACACTTATCTAAAGAACTCTATGAACAGAACAGAAGAGCTGCGTCTCTGCTGGCAATGCTTCCAAACAATGTGCTCAAAGCACTAATGCCTCAATTCAAACTGTCATACTGTTGCCTTCCTAGTATCAGAAAACAGGACAAAACTGACCAAACACAAAAGTAAAATTGACTCAGCGGTCATTCCAAACATTAATACGCACCTGAATATACTTGACACCCAGGCGTTCTCACAGTAAACATTAACCAGATATATTGGAGTCAACAAGCACCTGTAGCATGAATACTGTAAAGCTAAACGGGAGCTCCTCCAGGAGCAGGAAGGTGCTCGTGAACTCACCTGTGCAGCACAAACTCTCCCTGATCACTCAGCTTCCATTCCACTGAGAGCTTTCAGAGAGCTGTTGCTGCTCTACAGACTCACAAATGGCAAACAGGAAGGAGCTGCACATGATTCAGGATCCAATGTGCATCTCTGGACCAGGCGGCAGCGTAGGCGTGTTTGATTAAGGCCGAGCAGAGCACCAATTTGGTCATCGATAGCTAATAATTAATTTCCCATAGCTGATATTGTGAGCTGGTCTCAGGTTTTATGTCAATGGGACTAAATGTTGTCACATAGGACTTCAAAGGTCCATTAAGTAATTTGCTGACTTCTGAATCAGATGGTACACAGAAATGAAAAGCTTGTTTTCCTCAAGCTGGATTTACTATCCGTTCATCTAATGAACAACATCTATGTTAGAACTTCAACATCCAGGAACAGTGTGTACCATTTAAAAGGTGGCCACATTAAAATGTGGTCAGACGGATGAATTATTGGAAGCAGGTCACCAGTAGGGATGGGATCGTTTAGGTTTTATCCGATACCAGTACCAAACCGGTACTTTTGAAACGGTGCTGGTGCTTAAACAGTTCTCGAACCGGTGCTTAGAGAATGAAGAACAAAACTTCAAAACTCCAAAAACCTCTTATGTTTAGCTGTTTTTTTGTAAAAAGATAACAATATTAGCCTTTTCTGCAGCTATAGGGGATTTATGGTATCACTCTTAGCTGGAAGCAGTGCTTAAACAATGGAAAAAACACAAACTTTGTCCTAAACCTCTCATGTTTAACTGTTTTCCACTTTTTCTTTGGTCATTTTAGCCTTTTTGGCCAGGGTGAAGGGAGTATCTGCCATCAAACAAGAAGACAGCCGCATGTAACTACGACGGTGTTTGCTAGTTCACCTTACATGCATTAATTTAATAACGTGGTTAGCCTACTCAACGTAAATTACACTTGTGCTCAGCGTAAGTTACAAACGAACAACATTAAGCTACTCACGCAGAGAAGAACGGCTGCTGCTGCCATCATCATCCTCATCATTTCTGCTACACTGGCAGGGCTAGGGGCCAGGACTCTCGTCTTCGGGTTCTTGGGGGATGTTGCTAACTCCGGATCCGATAACAGGCACCACACCCGCAGTAGATGTGCTCGATGTGTGGTCTCGCAGCAAGCTATCAAATACGGTGCATTTCTCAGCTTTTAAAAAATGCTATACATTGCCAGGTGTTTCATCAGATTTGAGGAGTTACCTCCTTTGCACAGTATCAGCTTAAAGCACTTGTTGCAGGCTGCTGAGTTTACATCTTTTGCTATGAAGTACAGCCAGACTTTTGACCACTTCGCCTTGGGCATTTTTAATCTGTAGCTCTGCTCTAAAAGAATGTACGTACCTGGGCCCGCCTACTATGCTTGCAAAGGTAAAATGATTGGCTAGAATCCAAAGTGTATGACATCTCAGGAAATAAAACACCGAAATGTGCGCTGCTTTTCGATCTGGTTACTACCATTTATGTCAGAACCGGTGCGGTACCCATCCCAAGTCACCAGCTATCAGCTCAGAGAGGAAACCTCACTAAGCCTCTGATTCTTTTTAAGACCTCCGACAGAAACAACCAACATTAGGACTTTTCTTAAGCCTGCACCTTTCTGTCGTCTCAGAAGCCACACTGACACTCAGACGCACACATTAAAGTGAGTGTTTGTGGGCGAATCGTTGGAGGAGAAGTGTGCAGGACAGATTTCTGCTGGAAATGATGGTTTAATATTTAAACAGCTGCGCTCCTTATCGCAGGGAGGATAAGACAAGCAGTGAACATGTGCAATCACGGCGCTGTTGTTTCTCTCTCATTTAACAGCATATCAGCGCTGCGTGCGAAACCAACATTTGCTTTTAAAGGACACATTTTCAACGTGGAGACCATTGAAACCAAAATAACACTAAAACTAAAGCTTGAACTAGAACTTTTAGAGCCAAAACTTTCTGAACACAGTACCTACTTCTGGTGTGTACATTCACAGTTACAATATAAAGAAGACATACTCTTGGGTGTCTTCTTTATAATCACCAGAGTCTAAGTGAGACCAGTGAGGCACACACAATACTGCATACATAACAACTCCAAAATAATTTTAAATTAAATTAATATATATTTTGAGTGTGTGTGTGTGTGTGTGTGTGTGTGTGTGTGTAATGAAGTGAAAAAGTACATAAAATGTAAATTTATAAAATAAATTTATAAAAATCAAAAAAAGGAAAATATTAGAAAATATAAAAATTTAATTCATGAAATGAAATAGGATGAACTAAAATATTAAAAATAAGTATTAAATTACTTGTATTTTTTTTTTACGTGAAAATCAAATAAATTAAATAACAATGTGAAATTGGATTAACGGAAATGAACCGTGAAAAGAAAATAAGGCCGTCCTATTAATAAAAAATAAAAGTGCGAAAAGTAAATTAGCCCCACATCTGAAGGCTCGCTCTTTTTTCTCGCGCGCATTTTGTATTCATTGTAAATCAGCGTGTGCGTGCGTCCATAAGTACACGTGTGCTCGCTTACAGTACAAGCATGCTTCCTGTACTGACACAGCAGGTGCATGTGTGAGCGCGTGGTGTGCGTGCGTTCCTGACACACTGACCTGCTCCGAGTCTCTCCTCTCAGGCGCTCAGCGCTTAGCTCGGGTCCCGGCACCGCTCTCGTATCTCGGATCTCTCCTCTCTCTTTCCCTGGCAGCCCGAGCGGAAAACCCCGGGAAGAGTCACGCGGCTCCCGGCTGCCATCAACATAAATAAATAAAACAAAAACTTGAAATCTAATTTAAAAGGGGAAAAAATTAACAAAAAGAAAGGAAGAAAGGGGCGGGTGTCTGACGTTGGTTGAGAGTTTAAATCCCCATCCTCTGGATCCTCGTGTGTAAGTCCCGCTTACAAGTCTCTCTCCTCTGCCCGCCTCTTTCTCTCTCCAATGTCTTTTTGAATTTACCCAACCTGGAGCGGGAAGCGAGGTCTCGGTTGTCCTTTGCCCTATTTTAGGAAACAATCGCTCGGCTGCTGTCTGAGGCAGCGCTGACATCCGCGCCTCTGTCACTTTGGATCAGCGGAACCCGCCGGTAAGTTCGGCCCCCAAACGAGCCTCCAAGGAGCCGAGGACACTTTTAAAGACGGAGTCACCTCCTGCACGGTGTTTAAAACATGCACATATGTTCTTCTCCTGCTCTCTCTTCTGCTGGACTGTGCGCTCTGGACACGGACTGAAAAGCTTTACGCACGGCGCGTAAAAAGGAGTGGAGGGTCATAGGAGGAGGGCTTCTCGTTTTTAAGAGGGGGGGCGAGAGAAGAACGTGGGGAGGGAGGATAGACAAGGTGGTGAAGACTGGGGGAGGGGGAAGAGACAACGGGGCGTGTGTGGGGGGGGGGGCTATGGAGGTGCTGGAAGCTATGTGAGGGAGGAGTTAATTTTCATTTTATTCATCCATCCATTGAATTTCTGCGGCTTAGATGCTTAGATCTCCCTTTCCTCACCCTCCACTTCCAGTTCTTCAAACGTGGGCACAGAAAAAGGTGATCCCAGATCATAGCTGCTCCACTGTGGCCTGGGCTCAAGGGTTTTCTCACTGCGGCATATGCAAAAAACGTATCCAGGTGGCATTCTGAACTGCCTTATCTTCTTTTACTAATGAGGAGCTGTGGTCACTCTGAGGCTCTTATGACTGAGAATAACTGAGCTCCTTACTGTAACTGCAAAGGCTGAGCCCCCTTCAGGGCAAGCACATGTCTGCCACTTGTATCATCACAACTGTGATGACAGGTGAGTGTAGGAATGTAGATCAACTTCATCTGCATTACTATAAAGAAAAGTAAGAGTAATGTGTAATACAATTAGCGTTTTTTTGAGTGATATCTCCACCACATAACTGTTGACCTCACACACGAGCTCACGCTCCCTCCCCACTAGAGAGATAACATTTCAGTTTCAGTTCCACAATCAGACCACAAAGGGTTCAGACTGCTGCCAGATTTAAGAAGAAATACTTTACAAATTCTATTTTGCCAATTTTTTATAGCAATTTTAAATCATTTAAACTAAATAATGGAATTCTGTATTTTTTTTAATTATTCGCATTTTAGTTAATCATTTAAAAGGGTTAGGTTAATAGACTTCTTCATTAATTCATTTTCTTATCTTTATTTTTCATATTCTTTTATTTTACTTTATAATTTGTTGTAATGATCTTATTTTTTATTTTCGATTTAATTGTGTTTCTCTGATGAAGACAGAGGGGTGAGAGAGGCAGAAACAAAAGAAGACCAAAGAAACGGGATTAAGAATGATGAGAGGAGGGAATGAGATTTAAAGGGAATTTAAAGGATAAGGAAGACAAAGGCAAGAGGGGTAGACGGAGGAGATAGGGGAAAGAAGAAAGGAGGGACACCAGGGAAGGAAAATTAGAGAATGAGAAGAGGAAGAGGAGGAGAAATGTGTTTTGATAAAGGCTGCAGAGGAGGAAAAGTGGGTAGAAGACAAGGAGGAGGAGGGAGGAGAGTACAGAAACAGGAGCCAGAACCAATTTCAGATTTTAAACCATCAGCATTCAGGCTGCTCTTCACTCCTCATTTATTATATCGGTGAGTGACGAACGTGTTGAAAGATGAAAACTATATGTGTGTGTTTGTGGCGTCACGGTGGGAAGGTTTCTATCTTTTTGAGGCCAGATTTCTGCTTTTACCCTTAAATGTATGGTTTGATTTTTTTAGCTTAGACTCGACCAGTCCCTGAGAACATGCAAAGGCCACACAAGAAGACCACATGTGATGAAGAGACTCAACCAAGGGACCTTTTTGTGAGTTGTGAGGTGATAGCTCTAACATTAACACAGCTGAGCTGCTCAAACTCATAGTTGCCACTAACAAATTGTGGGTTGTTTAATATAATACAAAACAATGAGGAACCTTGTTTCTTGCAAAAAAAAAAAATATATATAGATATATATATATATAGATAGATATAGATCTCATTTCAATGACAGATGTTCACATTTAACATGCCAAAGTTTACAATTATGAGGTCAGTATTTGTAGAAGTAATCCCTGTGAGTCAAAGGCTGCAAGGTTGAATATGTAATTAATCCACTTTTATCATTAAAATGCACTAAAATTCCTGCTGTCCGGATCCCAGCACTGCCGGTAAATTACAGTATGTGAAAAGAGAAAGTATTTCTACTTTTAGGTTGTTTGGATCATAAAGAAGTTAACAATATTATTGTTTCTTTAACCTTGCTTCCAAAATTACAGTAACTTAAGGATGAATTTAAAAATGTTATGACAGAAAGCTAGTTAAGATGAAAAGAGAGAGATCGCTTCCACTTTGGTAGATTTTAATGATGTCTGATTTTAGATTTTGCTTGGCAAACACTGCTTGCCTTACTTGCCCTGACAGGATGCCGCTGCTAAAAAGGTGAGGAGCTTGTTTCAGTTGATAACTGGGAATCATACAAAGCTATTCTAGCAGAGTCCAAGAATACGAATATGGAGCTGCATATTTGCGCACACAACATACACACAACACACACAAACCTTGATGTCCTCATTAATCCTTGTACCTGTGTGTACTTCAGCAGTAGAATCATATTACAGTGCAACCCGGTTAATTCAGCTTACTGAAACAAATGATTTTTCAGCCTGACTGGTTCCTCTGAGTGGTAAAATAACTGCTGACCATCCAGTGAGGTAATACATCTTAATTAATCCCACAGAAAACAATGGATGAAGCCATCTCGCTGACAAAGTCGTTTTACAAACAGACAGACTGAATCGACCTCATGAACAAGCTGTCAGTCATGTTTAATAATCGTGCTGGAAATGTTTTTCTCCACATGTTATTCTAAAGGACTGCAGGCCACTTGTGCTGTTTGCAACCCAGACCTTATTTCAAATTGATCTTATATTCAGAATCTGTATCTGTCGAAGACAAACGACACGGAGTCCAAGTGGAGGTTAAACAATTTGTTTTATACAGAATGAGAGAGGCATCATGGCTGTCATCTCAGGGTTTCTACGAGATTTAATCCAGAAGCCTGGGCCCAGGTCCAGAGCATAATAACTTAAATAGGTAAAAATAATCAGTGTCCACCAAAAACTGATTATTGTTCAGGTTATATAACTCTGCAGCTGTTTTTATCTGCATTATATGTCTGCAGCTCCAGTCCAAATCTATAAATACCCATAAATTAGCATCTGTCCAAGGCAGTAGTAAGTGTATGTTTATGTTACTTGTGTGTGTCTAATATCCATGTATAGTCTGCATATGTTTTAAAGTAGACCTTAATTAACATTTCAGCTACACAGATACACTTTATGGCAAATAATTGTGGGCTCTATGATGTCATTCATAAAGTATATACCTGCATAGCATAGTTACAGATTCCTATTAATTAGTGCTAAATAAAAACAAATTCCTAGAGTTTCAATCAGCAAAACTGAAGTGCAGACTTCTTGGATACTCTAATCAGACAATTAACCACACAGCAAGCCACATTTTCCTTAAATAGTTACATTAAAAAGCTCAAAAAGTCACCAGGAGCACACACACAGTCCAGCAGACAAGTCCAGTGGCTCTGATTCACTGAGATGAAGCCCAGCATACAGCCGGCACTCACCGCTGCCTGTCTTGCCATCTATCTGTCAGCCACCCTCCAATGGACATTAGAGCAACTGCAATGTTTTTGCACCTGCAACCAATGAACTAGACAGTCAAGGTCATTTTAATCAGCTTTTCTGCTCCATTCTGATACTTGGTTTGAACTTGACTGTGTTGACTTGTCTTGAATGCACTGAGTTGGTGCCATGTGATTGGCTGTTTAGATCATTGCATTCAAAGCCAGTTGAACAGATGTACCTAATAAAGTGGCTGTTGACAGTATGTAACACCAGAAAAAACTAAAAAATGCTCAGATCTTCCAGATGTTTGAATGAATTGTAATGAAGTGAAAGGAACTCTGGAGTAAAGAAAAGATAATCAGTTGGGGAGAAGGAAAGTCTTCCACGGGAAAGAGGCTACTAAATGAAACTAGAGCTATAGAACTGTTATAGAGGAAAAGAAAAATATCAAGCATTACGCAAAGCAACATGCTATGAAACCTGCCACTGGGCAAAATTACTTATTTTTTATGGTATAAATGAGAAACCTTCACATATGTGGTGGAACCACTTATGGATTTTTCACTGACGTATGAGAACAAAAGTTTGGGACTGGGAGACAAAGAGTTTTTAATTTGACTGTTTTTCATCTGATATCAAAGACTCAGTCTTTACTCTAGTTATATTCTAGATCACTCACTGGGCCCACGTCCTCATTTGAGGTTTGGCAGCATTTTAGTTGATAAAGGTGAAAGGCTTGGACATGAATTGAGCTGCAGTTTGGAGAAGGCCTCAAAGGAGACTGGCGGCAGCTTCCAGGCCTGGCAGATCCCCTTGTACTAAATAGAAGTGAAGAAGTTAAAGAATTGAAAAGAGGAGGGAGGGTGGGGAACGTAAACGAGAATGAAAGTACAGTTTTACTTACAGGAAAATGGGTGAAATGTATTTCTTGACCGTCTTTTCCCCTGGACCTCCTGTGGAATGTAACATGCAGCAACACTCTTCAAATGCATAATACATGCCTAAATACATAATCCATAAAAGGAGGAAAAGCCTCTGTACAGGACACTCATGTAAATTAATGAGTCAGATTGAGGTTCTCAGTGCAGCTCGCTCACTGTCACAACAGCCTGCTGATTCAAGTCAAAGCGACACAAATTTGGGGAATCTGGTGTCCACCAGCTGCTGAGGGCGACGGTTTACATCAACCAGCCATGTGTGAGTGTTGCAACAAAGCCCGCTTCATATCTGCTGCTGTCGTGTGTGTGTGTGTGTGTGTGTGTGTGTGTGTGTGTGTGTGTGTGTGTGTGTGTGTGTGTGTGTGTGTGTCAGAGCTTGTGCTGCAAATGTGTTGTGAGGAGGATATCACGTGTTGGCTTTTAGTGTGCTATTCATTGATGCTGAAGAAGCTCGTGTGTGTGTGTGTGTGTGTGTGTGTGTGTGTGTGTTGTGAGGCTCTGATGTGTGTTGGCAGAGTGCAAATCTAAAGCAAAATGAAGTGTGAAGTCTGGTGCCAGCATGTCAGCGTGTGTGTGTGTGA